AGAGAGAGAGAGAGAGAGAGAGAGAGAGAGAGAGAGAGAGAGAGAGAGAGAGAATGAGAGTCCTTGATGCATCCTCGGATGCTCGAGAGACCCATACGAGCCACGTACATCCATTTATCCGTCCATCCATCTCACCGTGAAGACTCAACGCCAATGTCGAAGAAATAAATTGAATTGGTATGTCGCGAGTGTAACAAGTCGCTTGTGTTGCCGCGTGACGTACGATCCGGGTCCATGATCGAAGAGAAACACTCGAAGTTTTTACAACTTCGATTAGACGACCCAGGATTGCGCAACGCTGATACGACACAATAAACTTCCTGCAATTTTATTGCGACTCGTAAGCCTGTCGAGTGCTAGGAGGAGCACGAAATACTTTGCGCGAAACACTAGAACTGCCTCCAAATGATAATGTGTGATTGATGAACCATTTTGCTTTACGGAAGCTCGACTATATATGCAAGGCATTTTATTAAATTATGATATAATCCATAATTATCACTGTTGATGCAATCGCGCATTGTATTTTATATTTGTTCTCGTATTCAATCCATTTTAACTCTTTATTTAATAAAATTTATTAGCACATTCTGTCCGTAGGCTATACACGTTTCAAAACGTTTTCAGCTTCTAGAAAAAAAATTCAATTCTAAAAATATTTAATTCTACAAGTCTAACAACAACGGCGAAAGGTGAGTGAACTCCAATAATTTCGACCAGCCTGCCTAAAAATCGAAGAGAGGAAAAGGCGCCGGGGGATGGTGGATCGTAAATCGTGGTGTACTGTAAAAGGACTTACACCGGCGGCGTCGCGGATTATCGGAATTCAATAATGCGGGACGATACAAATAAATGGAAAAATCTACCTTAACGCCGCACGCTCGACAGTGCAAAATAATAAAGAACCGATGTCAGCAAGGCAGCGAAATCATATATACATTTCCCCCCTTATTACTTGGTCCAGTTTTCATCGATTGCGATACAAAAAGATTCTTGAAGGAGGATTACTCGATGAAAATAAACTGGGAAAAAACTTGAAATCTCAGCACTTTATATATAATTTTACATTTTGCAGTAATTAAAATCGTAAATAAAAAATTTATCTTTTCCTCTAACCGATTAAAAATAAACGTAGAAATCAAGTAGCTACAGTGGAAGTTCGTTAACTAGAATTTAAAAGTGTTTAAATAGAATTGCCAGAAGTTATATCGCTTAATGATGTAATCTGACGAAAGATATTTCATTCTTTTGACTTTGAATGTATCAAATTAAAAGTCTTAAATAGCTTCTGTCGATGTAGAAAATTGTGAATTCAATTTTATCTCTCTGAAGGTAAAGGAAGGGAAAGAGGGACATATTCGGTGCTAAAAACCGCTTGACTTCATTTTATGTACATTGTGCCAAGGAGACGATTTTCTTTGAGGCAGAGGGAGTAAAACAGGGAAAAAGGGAGAAGGCATAGGGGATGCAGAAAAAAAAGGTACCGCTGGGGATTTTTTAGGGTTCCTAAGGACGCCCTTATTTAGAACCTTAGCATCAACGCGGACTTTGCCATAGGATGTAGAACGATAAAAAGCGGTATATAGGCGAACGTAAAATTCGTTACGACCGAACTTCCGCTACCATCCTAAAGAAGAAAGAGAAGTAATTACTTACAAAAGACGCGAGGAAAGATATGTGAAAGATATTTGTGTGCAATTCTACAATTTCCATCTTATTTTATAGCATATTTGTAGGCTTATCTAGCTTTAATGGAAAAAAAAGCTCGTTCAAATTTTATACTATTTTCTTAAAAAAAATTGTTATATCGATGCCACACATACGAAGGATTTATATACGAAAAAGAAAATGTTATATTAAAATTATAGATTTATAAAAACTGAAGTATTAAAATTTGCGATCACAAGTCTATTTTTATTTATTTCATTTATTTATGCATTTATTGCAAAATAAAATGAAAAAATAAAAAATAATTTATATATACAGGCTAAAATGTATGGAGTCTCAAAAAATTCAATCTAGTTACAATCGTTTGATAATTAACATCATTAAAATTGTTTTTTTTTTTTTTATTAAGATATTTACTTTTCCAATAAAACTTTTCTCGCGTTGATCGTTTATACACGTATATATGTATATATAAGACAGAGAGCCGCAAGTTCTTGCTGTCGAAGAAAACTTCATCCCGACTAGTGCAGACAATTGACTCACG